CTGGCGCTGCCAAACTGGCAGGGTCACGATCTCGCGCATTGGATGAGGATTCGACTGTGCCGAATTTAAGATCGCCGCCCGTTGATGCGTGCGATGATTGGCCGACGACGCGTCTGTTGCGGCATGTGCCGACCTCAATATGCCGAGTTGGACCAATCGCAGCCGAGCGATGGCGTATTGCCCGATCTGCCGGCGCAACGACGGGAAGAAGCATGGCTTCACAGCCGGCCATGCGCGCAAGGCCGAGGACTTTGTCGCGAGACAGATGCAGAAGACCAAGGAGCTCCTAGAGCGGGCGAAGACGCCGCCGTTCTGGTGTGTCTTCTGCGATGCAGACCAAGACGACATTGCGCATCTCGCGACCAAGGCCCATGCCACTGCCGTGCGTGCGTTCTGCAAAACACACCGCTGCGCCTTCGATCCAAAGCTCGCGGGCAGTCCGTCGCCCCTACCAGAAGAGCCCGCGCCCAGCGAGCCCGTCGCAGCAGGCGTGGCTACGAAACCGGACGCCGCGCGCCGCGCCGACATCCAAGCTGCGTTCTTGGACTCGGTGGCAACGCGGCTGCACGAACGCTCGGGCGGCGTTGCTGTCGTCGCGCCTCGACCGCCGTCGGCGTTTCCCAACGTCACGTCTCCACTTGGCGTGGTCCAGAATCCCAGCGGTGTCGACGCCGAGACTGGCGACCGCGTCTGGGGCGGCGGCATCGTCAAGGTGGCCAAGAAGGCCTTCACACCGTGGGCCATCGATGCGCTCGTGCAGCAGCTGCTTCGCCTGCACGTTCAACCAACGACGACGACGGCACCTGACGCGCCTCGCGTCACCGACATGGCGCACGGCCACGGCCTGAGCTCGATCCGACGCGCGTGGGCGTCCAAGCCGCTCCACAACGTACACTCGGGCGCCGTGCCGCCGTGGCTGGTATCGTCTACGGAAGAGTACTACCGCCGCAATACTCGGACGCCTTCCGCATCCGCACCACCAGCCTCATCCAGCTGGCTGCCCAAGTTTGGAGGTGTCTGGGAAGCTGGCCCGCGGAGCATGACCAAGCGTGCGTTCTCGGCCCCGCTGTCCTCTCTGTCAACAAGCGTGGCGGTCGAGACGGCGGCTTCCACACCACATGACGCTGCTCCAGCCGCACGAAGGGAGAGTGACCACGGCGGCGTCTCCTCGATGGAAGCCAAGGCCATGGCGCTCGCAACGCAAAAGCAAGATTTACGGGCCAAGTTGCGGGCCAAGAAGCTGGCCACTGGTACGACTGGCTAACCTTTTCTACATTGACCCTCGCCTTTACAACAAGCTACGTGACGCCGTGTATGGGCGATAGTACGACAATGACAGCATGGAGGAGACCGACAGCGTCCACACGAAAATGTATACAGTCTTTGTTTTGGTTTTGGCGCGATAAATACCCACTAAATTGCGCGAGGCTCGAAGTCAAAGAGGTCGGATTGTTGTTGTTGTTGTTCTTGTCGGGATAATAAAAAAGAAAAGCCTTGCACCGCTTCGTCTTGGCGGAGGCAGAGGTGGGGGGTTAGTTGTAGGGCGGCGACGCGACCCACGTGGACCCCCCAGCCCACTGAGGGTGGTACGCGCTGTAGTACGGGTCCCGGCCCATCGAGAACTGGTCGGTCGCGTACGTCTCTGGTTCGTACGCGTACGAGGTCACTTGTTGTTGTTGTTGTTGTTGATGCTGCTGTTGATGCTGCTGTTGATGCTGCTGTTGATGCTGATGCTGGTTGCTCAGAAGCGACGGCGGCTGCGTAAAGTACGTCGACGGCGACCACTCGGTCTCGGGCTCGTACGCGGGTTCTTGCGGCGACGGCGGCGTCTTGAGCAGCATCGCTTGCGGCGAGCTGTGCGCCATGGGGTAAAAGACCAGCGTGCCAAAGGCCGTGCTCGTCGAGAGGACCTGGACCGCGTAGCGATCTTCCTGTGGCACCTTTGCGAGCTTCGACTGAAACTGCGTGTGGACCGAGAGCGGGACGGGCTGCGTCACGTACGGCAGGTAGTGCTGCATCCAGACGACGCACTCCCAGACGCTCTCGGGCTTGACCAGCAAGAGGTGCGAGAGCGCATACAGGTTGTGGTTGGGCGCGAGGAGGAAGAGCGCGGCGCCACCGAGGACACTCGGCAGAAAGTTGATCGAGAACGAGTCGAGCGTCGCCACGTCGAGGAGGTTGCACGCGAGGTGGAACACCGTCATGCGCTCCTTCGCACGCTGGAGACGCGACTCGTCCATGCGCAGCTTGTCGGCGTAGTCGTACGACGACCCGCCATACTCGTACCCGACGTAGCACGGCGAGTTGTACACGGCCGGCGACGGCGGGCTCGACGGCTCCTTGTACAGCCCAAGACCGTCCATCGCGAGGAGGAGCCACGTGACGGGCGTCGCCGGGTACAGCTTCCAATTGAGCTGCTTGAGGAGCGCTTCTTCATGCGCGATCACGTCTTCCTTCGTCGTGTAGATCGACGGCGCGACGACCTTCTTGCTGCGACCGCCACGCTTGCCCTTGCCTTTGGCCTTGGCATGGTCGGGCACGGTTTCGCCCGACTCGCGCTGGACAGCCTCCAGAATGTCCGTGACCGACGGCGGGTTGACCTCCTCGATCTTGCTGGCGAGGACGAGGACGGTCGCGGCCATGAGGATGTTCGGGTGCTCGGCCGTTTTGGCAAAGTTGGGCACAAAGATCTGACCGTGCGCGAGCCAGGACGAGAGGAAGACGCGCGTCATATACGAGCACGCTAAATGGCACGTCTCGCGCTTGAGGCCAAGCGCCGAGCCTGTCGAGAAGATGCGGTGCACAAGGCGGCCGCGCGCCGTGTGGAAGATGGACCAGTCGAGATTCGGCATCGCGATCGCGTTCTGCGCATAGAGGTGCACCGCGTACTCGTCCTTCGTCTCGCGGTGCCGGTAGTTCTGGATCATCTCAATGTCGAGCTCGATCGTGTCGAGCGCCATGGCGTTGCCCATGGCACCGGTGCGGAAGTGGGCATCGCCCTTCGTATCGGCGGGTAGGCCGATAAAGGAACTGGCGTACATGCTGCGATCAAGCAGAGCTCGAGACGACGGGTGGTAAGCAGCGAGCGCTGGCGACGACGGGCGACGGTCACCGGGGCGGGCGGGCGCTGGAGCTGGCGTATGTAACACAACTGCGGGTTTCGCAATTCTAAAAAACTGGCCCTTGGTCTCTCTTTTTTTCCAATGTTTTATGTCACATAGTAAAATGCCAAGAAAGGTCATGAAATGTTTTACCGCCGCGTGGCGTCGCGGCCGTTGGATTCCGGTCGGACTTTTTCGTTTCGGACATCGCCACTTAAGCCCTACGATAAGGGCTTGAATTCCCGTAAGACGTACGAAAGATCCCCTACCCCGCGTAAAAAGACGCCAAGAGGGGCCAGAGGGACGAAGAAGGCAACTTGGGTAAGCGAATTCCGATGGATTCCGGCAGGACGCCCAGCACACGACCACCATGGACCTGCGGATCACCAACTTTGGCACCGACGCCCGCGAGTACACGCTCGCGAGCGGCCGCGCCGGCGAAGCCAAGGGCCTCTTGAGCCTCCTCGGTCTGCTCAGCTCGACCACTCTGTGCACGCTGCTCTACGTCTTCTTGATCCCGACGCTCTCGCCGTGGATCGGGCCAGCATATGCGACGTGGCTGCCGCTGCCCACCGCAGCCGCGCGCCACGACCTCCTCACGTTCCTCGTCCCGTTCTATGTCGTCCTCGCCCTCTTCAAGTCGTCCTTTGGCGGCACCATTGTCGAAGGTACGCATGCGACGTCGAGGCGATCGATGATGGCTCATCTTGTCGCTAGAGTCGGTCTTGGTCATTCCGGAAATTGGCGTCCAGCTGCGCAAGAAGCGCCGCAATGGCAGCGAAAAGTTCATGGTAACCTTACGCCACTGCTGTGCGATGGAGACCGATGCTCTGGAGGCTAGTTTATCGAGGCCAAGTGCATTCGCGCCGTGGTCATCAACGAGGCCATCACGTTCGCCGACGTCATCTACTACATGGCCTTTCTCGTGCAGAACGAGCCCAAGATGATCTTGGCGTTCGAGGTAGACGTCGACGAGATACAGTCGTACGCAGGCGCTGATTGCATCCTAGTCGTTTCGCCCGCGCGTGCATGCGCTGCAAAAGGTCTTTCTGGGCACGAAGGGCCTCCTCTTCCCCGACGACTCGAAGATGACCATGACATAGCGGCCGACGCTGCACAGTCGCATGCCTGTCGTCGTAGAAGGTAGCCTCCGACACAGTAGAGGCAGCATCTTCGGGTGCCACGGGGTGGTCGCGTCAGCAAACATTTATCTGCGTTTTGTCCCAAGCTCTCCGACACCACCCGAGAGAACGCGCTACTAGTGGTGTGAGCACCTGCATCGCTTGTCCATTCCTTGACCAGAGATGACGACCAAGCAGTGTCGCGGCAACGAATTGAGCCACGCGCTGGCGACAACCCACATCTGATCAGTGTCTACCCCCGATCGCACCACATTCTTTTGGTGACGGGCTTCGTCGTTGCGGCTACACACCGCTCCTGCTACCGCTCCACCGCTAGAGATCGAGTCTATTCAGGAGAGGCAAATACCCTAGTCCCTCGCAAGGGTGAAGAAACTCCCGCTTGTCACGAGTCGGGGCAGACGGTGCCGGACCGGAGTTGGTTTGCCTCAGGCGAGGAGCCTGCCGCGCAGTGTCAGGACGGCGGTGCCAAAGAGGAAGACGCGGTCGCCGGCCAAGCGCGCGCTCACATCCCCGCCCCGCGCACTCTGCTGTCGGCCGCGGAAGCTCGTTTGTGGCAGCAGCGTCGCCCAGTATGGCGCGAGTGCGCAGTGGGCGCTGCCCGTGACTGGGTCCTCGTCGACTCCGCTTCGAGGCCCGAAGAAGCGGCTGTAGAAGTCATAGCCCGAGTCGACATGCGCCGCACACGTCACGATCGTCGCACTAACCGATGCCGTACATGAACAACACATGGCGAGGTAGTACGATGGTACCGGCAGTCGAGGACGAGGAGCGAGCGAAAGTGTGGGGTCATTTCGGCAAAGGCGGTCGGCGTGACATGGCAGATGATGTCGGTGCCGTACTGCTCGATGGCAATGACGTCGTGGATGCCAATGCTTAGCGCGGCCACGAGTGTCGATGACGTCGCGGCCCGCCACGCCTCGTCACGCGGGACACGGTGCATCGTGGGAAAGTCCATTTCGATGCCGGCGACCCCGTCGGGCGGCATCACATACCGCGTCGTAAGCACGCCACTCCTATGCGATATTTCAACGATACAAATGTGCAACGACGCGCTCTCGGTCATGCAATCGGGATCCGTACTTGGTGTGGAAGCGGATGGAGGCGTCCTTGGCGCAGTGGCCGTCGACGTACAGCGTGTAGGCGGCTGCGAGCGTCGCGTGGCCGCAAATGTCGACTTCCTTGGCTAAGAATTGGCATATCCAAGAGCCGAGGTTGATAGGATGCCGTGCAGTACCCGGTTTGAACCAGCGAAGGTTATAGTCATTGGGGCTAGCGTCGCGCGGTGACACAAAGGCGGTCTCGCTCAAGTTGCGCTCGAGCGCGACCTGCTGCATCCACGTGGCAGCACCAGGCGCGTCAAACTGCATCGGAGGTAGCACGACGACGGCCGCGGGATTGCCTTCGAACGCTTTGCGTGCAAACGCATCGACTTGAACGACAGCATGCGCCGCCACGCAGTCGAAGACGAGCTCGAGCCACGCGTCCTGTCCGTGGACGACCGGCGAGAGCCGCGTCACGCGAAAGCCGCAGCGGACGTACCACTGCACGAGCGCAGGCTTGGCTAGCAGCACGATCGCGTCCACGGATGGCTATGGAGGCAGTGAGATCGATCGTGGCTGTACACGGAATCTACGTGGTGCTGCTGGACGTGCGCGAGGTAGGCGCGCAGGAGGGCTGTGCCAAGGCCGTCGCGACGATGCGCTGCCTCGACGACCACCGAGTGGATGCATAGAAACCGGCCGCTTGGGTCGTGCTGGGAGAGACTCGCGGCCGTGAGCTCGCGCTCGGAGGCCAGCGTGCCATTGACAAAGCCAACGAGCGCTCCAGCAATGGCGTAGGCGCCCAAGAAGAAGGCACTTGCATCCGTCAGCCGCGCCTGGATCTGCGCCAGACGCGCAGCCTCGTCGGCGGGGTACGAAGCCACTTCAATGGCATGGGCAGCCTCGGCGTCGCCAGCTTTGACAAGCCGAAACATTTCAAACCTTGAAGCTCAATTGCTCGTCGGAATTCGGATTGGATCGTATGGGCATGCTCTCCATATATATCCGTATATACATACATTTTGGTGCCATATATGATATCGGGAACACGCTGGACACGCACGCATGTCTTGTACACGACTAAAAACGTGGACCGGTATGGACTTAAAGGTAGAGTATACATACACGACTGCAATGCATGGTGTTGACCGGGGTATCCTCTATGAGGCTCATCTAAGGGAATGAAATCAAAAGAACATATAGGCAGCATTTCCCACATGGCTCTACGTTGTCCATATCCATCCATACAACACATCGTGCTCGTGGACATCCGGACGTTCACTGGTCAATGTTTTCCACCAATGGCATGCGAGGAGCATTTTTCTAGCAGAGGAACCAGCGAGCGATGATGGGCGTCGTCAAGGTCGTCGCATGGATCGCCGCCGTCGTCGGCGTCGTCTACATGAGCCTCATGGAGAGCATCGCACAGTCGGAAGCGCACATCTCCTTCGTCAAGGCCGCCCTCGAGAAGCTCCGCGCGGAGCACGTGGCCGTCGACCTCGAGCCGCTCGACACGAGCCTCCTTGGCGAGCTCGAGGCCAAGCACGCCGAGTGGCGCCGTGAGTGGGCATCTATCAAGCAACGCGATGTGGACGAACGTCAAGAGGTCCTGGCGCACTGGAGCGCTACGAAGCAGACGATTCTGGACGACGTGGCGGCCAAGACGTCCGAAGTCGACGCGGTGCGCGCGAATGAGCGCCGGGCCATGCACATTCTGCGCGAGTGGAGCGACGTGCGCAAGGCAATTGCGTCGACAACGGCGCAGATCGCGTCAATCCAGTCGAAAATCGAGTACCAGGAGCGGCAAACCGCGGCCAAGCAGCGGCTCGCGGCCGACCACGCGGACGCGATCGAGCAGCTCCGCTGGGCGCAGCAGGCCCGCGAACGCATGTTTGAAAACGAAAAGCTCGCGGCCGAAGAGTCGATCACCCGCCGCAAGTTTTGGCTCCGCGCGCTCTTCCTCGCCGCAGGCCTCGTGACCTTTGGCGCCGTCATGATCGCACTCGACAAGGACCGCAAGAAGGGCACGAACCTCCGTCTGTACGACTACAACCATGGCTCGATCGATGACGAGTAGTGCATCCGATTCCCTCTTAATATATATCTTCTCCATCATAACTTTGCTTGTCATCGATGCGTCTTCCACACAACAGGAACTACAACAATCGCACGGTAGAGAAGCGTCAACTCGAGCTCGTGAGACGGCGGGGCTCCTGTACGAGCTGGTCATAGATCTCGATTGCTACCAAGGGTATGTACATGTACATACAGAGTAGCAAGGAGAGCCTCCGCCCACTAACATTTATTCATGAGACGTGCGGCCGAGCCAAGCGCTGTGTGCATCCGTGCAAGGGCTCATCGTCCCCGTTCGTTGTTAGGATGCGCAGACGAGGGGCAGTCGTCCGCCGCGAGCTGATCGCTACCATGGGTGTGGATGGCACTGATGACTTCCAAGCGGCGCCAGTGTAGTAGTGTTGTAGACAACGCCGAGCCACGTTTTTGAGACGGCCAACGCGCCACGAAGATGACACTGTAATCTCCGTGGCGCGCTTGCTTGCATGAGTCGCCTGAGCAAAGACTGTGATCATTGCAGTATTTGCTCCGGCGACTCATGCAAGCAAGTCACGGCCGAGATACGCCACCATCAACCGCGACTTCAACCAGCACGCAAGCCGCGTGCGCTTAGGGCCGCGCCATGGCCGACGACATCCACAAGGCGACGTTCTGGAGGCAACCGAGCCGTGTTGTAATGAAGTCGAGACACATGACACGGTCCGACACGAATCGATGTGCTGGCAGACGATGGGGATTACCACCGAGCTCCTCGGATGGATCCAGATTCTGAGCGGCTCTACCTTAACAACGCACTGGCCAGCCGACGCACAGCGTCCAGAAGGATACCCGTTGTTGTCCACCAACCACTTTTTTGGAAGACGACTCATGGACCTCCTTTCGCCCACGATGCGAGCTGCGGTCGGGCAAACGAGCGCGTTGAAAGCATCGCCCGTTTTGTGTGGCGTTAATACCTTGTATGGACAACCTCCTACCGGGTCGCCGGCGCATCGTGGAGCGATCATGCAGCGTGATGAGCTTGCAGTTGGCACATCGGACAAAACCGAGTGATCCAGCCAACGACGGCCTTTTACAGTGAAACCAATGCAGCCTTCCCCATACGAGGCCAAACGTCACGCCCACTTCTTGTATTACACTGCATACTTCCCTCCATTCGCGCAATTCAACGTCCTTCTCTGGGATCCACGCAGCGCCGCCACTCGGACGGTGACGCCGTGCAAGTCCCTCCTTCACGAAGACGGGGCAACGTCTGGTGTTCAAAGGGAACTACTCTTCCTGCATGAGCTTGTTGGAGCCTGTTGCGCGACGGCCGGCAGGGCAAACATGTAAAACAAAGCGTAGTACATGTACGTACCGTCGAGCTTGTGTAATTTAGTCGGAGCTCTGCATCGACCGCAGCGGCGCCGTGGCGTCAGTCGATTGAACAGACGCCCCTTTACATTATTTCTACCCTTCTATGCTTCTAAACGAACCCTTCTCTTGTTCGACCATCGAAAAAGCTCGTAGCCTCCACCAGCTAATCTAGCAGTAGTCGTCGTCGGTGGCAGCTGACAGCGATCGTCAAGGGCAACTTGCTCGATAGGCAAGGGCCATCTCGACGGTACCGTGTACGAAGTGTGATAGGTCCATTTGGTGCCTAGATTCACAGACGTAATGGATGTCGTATACGCTTTGCCCAGGTATACGACGTCACTGTGGCCAGCTGTCGCGCTATGCCAAGCTGTAGAAGCGCCGGCTGCAAATAAAATCGCTCGCTCCAATATTTTTTTAAATGATAGATTTCATCGAGGCGGCGTTCTGGATGGTCGCTGACCTTGGCGCTGCAGTCGCGGTCGGTGCTGGGGCGACCTTGCTTCAAGTTCAATGTTTGTACAGTCATCTTCGGGCCACCATAGGAAAAGGGGCGTCGACACCGTAGGAAAAGGGCTGGCCTCTGCAAAGGAAAGCTTCGCCGAGGAGTGGCATAGGCTACTGTGTCTCGCGTTCTGGGTGCACGTGCATACCCACGATGCCCACAACCACCGGCGCAGATTCCACCAGATTCCAAACGAGATTCCTTCCCGAGCCAAATGAATCCAATGTGAATCTGGAGACCATATGTCTCGTCTTCGACAACACATGCCACATGTTACCACGCCGGCGAAAGCGCTGGAGCGGAAATGTGTGGCCTTTGGCTCGTCCACACGGCCTCAACTCATTCTCGCATTTACCGCCTGAGCATCACCGACTACCATGGCCGCCTCCAAGGAAATCAGCCTCCAGTCGTCCGAAGTGCCACTGACGCCGTGCAGCCCGTCGCCGGATGCGCCCTTCAACAACGTTGACGACGCCGAGATCCAACTCGACGACGAAGACAAGACGTTCGCCAACCTGCCGTGGCACATGCAGCTGGCCTGGGGCCTCTTCTACCTCGTCCTCGCCTTGAGCTCGCTCTACTTCTTCATGGTTGCCGTTAAGTGGATCGGCGAATCGTTCTCGCTCCTCCTCGGCTGCGAGGCCAAGGGCGCGTTCGCGTTCGCTGACAACCCGGTGGCCGGCCTCATGGTCGGTATCGTTTCGACCGCCATTCTGCACTCGTCCGGCACGGTCACGTCCATCATCGTCGCGCTCGTCGGCTCCAAGGGCCTCACGGTGCGCCAGGGCGTCCCGATCATCATGGGCGCCAACGTCGGCACGTGCGTGACCTGCATCATGGTGGCGTTCGCGCAAATGGGCAAGCGCGACCAGTTCGAGCGCGCGATGGCGGCTGCGACCGTCCACGACATGTACAACATTTGGTCGGTCATTATCCTCTTCCCGCTCGAGCTGCTCTTCCACCCGCTTGAGCTCCTCGCGACGTCCATGTCGGGTGGCCAGGCCAACGCGTACTTCGAGTCGCCCGTCGACATCGTTGTCAACCCGCTCGCGTCCAAGCTCATCCGCGTCGACAAGTCCATGATCGAAAAGGTCTCGCTCGGCAAGGTCACGTGCGAGAAGGCTGTGTTCCTCAAGGGCGGCGCGTTCCTCGACTCGTACAAGTCCGGCTCCATGAGCGGCGGCGCCATCGGTGGCATCTGCCTCGCCATCGGCTTTACGCTCCTCGTGCTCTCTCTCCTCGCGCTCGTGTACATGCTCCAGAAGCTCTTCCGCGGCTCGGCGCAGAAGACGATCCGCAAGGCGCTCAACTTCAACGGCTACGTCAACATCCTCCTCGGCACGCTCATCACGTTCTGCGTGCACTCGTCGACGGTGGTCACCTCGACCTTGACGCCGATGGCCGGCCTCGGCCTCGTCACGCTCGAGCAGGTCTACCCGATCGTGATTGGCGCCAACCTCGGCACGACCGTGACCGCGCTGCTGGCCTCGTGGGTGACTGGGTCGCCGGATGCGGTCGCGATCGCCTTGGTGCACTTTTGGTTCAACATCCTCGGCATCTTCCTCTTTTACCCGATCCCAATCACGCGCAAGCCGATTTTGGACTGGGCGCGCCGCCTCGCGTACTACAGCGCCCGCTGGCCCGTCGTCGCCGCGCTCTTCCTCGTGCTGCTCTTTCTCATCGTCCCGGGCCTCGCTCTCGGCTTGACGTACCTCTACAAGGCCGGCACGGTCGGCCTTGTGCTCGCGATCTTTATCAGCGTCGGCGCGGTCGCGACGATCGGTGGCTTCTACTTTTGGTACCTCAA